TTCCTAAGCCTAACTCTAATAAATTCAGGACCAATCTCCTCTTTGCCAATATCTTGGCAAAAAATATTGAGAACGATATTAAAATTAGGTTGGAATGGTGGGCAGAATCCTTAGGCATAATACCTCACTATCAAAGTGGTTTCAGAAAGAACAGGTCATGTGCTAATAGTGTCATTGCGCTCAAAACCTTCATTAAAGACTCGTTCTTTAATAAAAAATACGTTGGGCTATCTTTATTGACATTGTAGGTGCTTTTAATAATGTCAACGTTGACAAATTACTTAATATTCTGAATGAACTTGGTATCCCTGGGTACTTTGCTAAATTTCTCGCATTTATGCTTAAGGACAGGAGGGTGAAGGGATATTTTGGTGGTGACCACTTGGGCACTAGGCTGGGTAATCGAGGTGTTCCTCAGGTTCGGTACTGAGCCCCCTCCTCTTCAATATCTATATATCTAAAATTCATCTAAACCTGAATAATAGACACACATTCTTTCATATGCGGATGATGTGATTTTCTCTGCAGACTCCTGCGTGGGGGAGGTATATAAGACACTACAGAAAGACCTCTTAATTCTGATAAAACCTTGAGGCTTTAGACCTTAAAATCTCTCTCAACAAAACTAATAGTGCATATTTCATGAATCACATAGATTCAGCACAATCCAAAAATCATATTAATAGAACAGACTCATTCTTAAAGTTACATGACGAAATAATTCCGATCTCTCCAGGAGCCACGTTTTTGGGGTTTTCGTTTGATACAAACCTAAGCTGAGGACTCACATAACCAAAATTAGAATTTCCTGCTGAAACGTGTTAATCTTCTCAAGTCATTTGCTGGCATCAAATGGGGGTGTCATCCCGCCACCCTTCTCATAGTTTACAGAGGTCTCATCAGACCAATGTTAGACTGAGGGGCTTGGTCTCCTCACGGAGACTACTCCACATCGCTATTACCTTTGAGCAGAATTCAATTCGGATGCGCTCGCATTATTCTAGGACTTATGTCTACGACTGCGACGAACATATTGCTTGACCAAATCGCGGAATGGCCTCTGTGGCATAGATGGAGATTCCTGGAAAAGAAAATTTGCATCAAAAACTTCTACTTGGGCAATAACCTTTAGTTATTTCATAAAAAATAGTCACATGTGGTCTAGGGAGAGGACTCTGAAACCAAATCAATATATTCCGTCAAATTCCTTATGCAACTTTATTAATGACAAACAAGTAGCTTTGACAGTTTTTGGCAAGCTTAATAAACTCCCTTCCTTCTATCACAGATTCTCGCTGAGACTTTTCAAAATCAATATTTATCTTAATACTTTTGATAATATTAAAATTTTAAAAGGAGGATAGGTAAATTTTGGTACAACAACAACAAAAGATTATCCTCGGAAGGGATTTTGAGGCTTGCCGCCGCGGACATTCGCAATCTTAACCTGGACAGAGAAATATACACGGATGGTTCTGTGCTCCCTGATGGTGGGGCTGGGTACGGGGCTGGGTACGGGGTGTATTCTCCTTTCCTTGAAGCCAGAGAGGCGATCCGTGTACACGACTCCCATATCATTTTCTGGTTGAAAGCATGGCCATTCTGCGCTATTGACATCTCACTACAGGAGAATATAAGAAGAGTTGGAATTTTTACGGACTCGATGAGCGTATTAACCCAGCTAAATAATCTCGACTTGAAAGGAACCGGATCGGAACTGTCATTTAACATCAGATACAAACTACAGATGGCGGTATACAAGGCATGGAAATACTGTTAGTCTGGATCCCGGGTTATATGGATATCCCTGGCAACGAAATGGCTGACCTGCTTGCTAAACTTGGATCTCTGAGTTCTGAAATCCCGGATGGGAAATATTGCTCTGTCTTACCGGAGGATGTAATTTATGATCAACTTTTAAAGGATAAAGCTCATGCTGTATATGAACTTACGCAAGAATTCGGATACAAGGGGAAAAGATATTTTCGAACACTCATCTGCCTTATTATCCTCTCCTTGGTTCAGAGATTTGGGCAATTATAGGAGGAGTACTATCACCTTGATGGCTAGAATAAGGTCGCATCATATTGCGACAGGGATTCATCTGAAAGATAAAAATATATGCATGGATGAGAGTTGTGTATGAGGATGGAGGCAGCGCAATATAGAACACATTCTCTTTAAGTGCCCTTTACACTCGGCGGAATCGGATTGCCTCCTTTTGAGATTGTTTTACAAGGACGCTAATTTCTCAGTAGAGGACTTACACAAGGCAGCATTCGACTTGGGGAACATGCACGTCTTTGAGGAAATAGACAAATTCCTTCTGAACACCCATCAAACCCTATAAAACCTCACCTTTCAGTGCTATCTGGAAAACGGCGTGTGGACACTGTTTCAATACATTCCGGAGCCAGAATAGAACCAACCAACCAACCATAATAAGTGACAGCGCTGACGTATGAAGCATTGGTTGTTTTTCTCCTCATGTTGGAGCGTGTTTCGAAGTCAACAAAAAATCGGTGCACATACCAGAGAGAAGAATGAGAGCGGCCACCGGCCGTATTTCGGGGCTACGGCTAGGCGCATTTTAAATACGCCATCTGACCAAAATGCGCCTAAACTACGTCCGCTAGGCGCACTTTCGCGGTGATAAAAGTAAAATGCGCCTAGGTTCGTGTCCGTACTACTTCCATTCAATGGATAGTAGGTTAGAAAAAGACAGACGACAGACAATCGTTCCGTCTTTGTCTCACTACTGAGCGGCGCGCGGCAGTAAACACGAGGCGAGGTAACGGCTTATCGCTAAGTGAACATCTCTCCGCTTTTCTTTCATCTTTCACGCTCCAGAGACATCAAAAGACGCGGTAGCGTCTCGTGTCAAGGGAACGTGCGAAGCGAGGAATTATTTTTCACGCACGCGAAGTAGCACATGGGAGACTAGACGAGCGTCGACATATTATTTGTTTCTTTCCCGCTCGTCTAGCTTATTGACTGCGTGAGCCGCGAGATTTTTCTCGCTACTCCTATACCTCGCTCTTTCTCTCTCTCGCTCGTTCTTTCTCTCTCTCGCGCACTTGCTCGCTCTTCCTCTCTTCTCGTGTTCTTACGGCTTGATTAAATATATTAATTACATGACAATATATATATAAATAAATGACACATATATAGTGTATATGTATATAAAGAATATTTAGTATTAATGCCCAAATAAAGAAGAGAGAATTATAATGAGACGAAAAGTTAAGGTAATAGAAATCCACTCTTAGCCAATATATACATCTTTTAAAAAATGATTTGTTATTAAAGTATATGATAGAATAATTTATTTATGCTAATAAATTTAAATTAAAAATTAAATGAAATGTTATTTGTTTTATAAAAGATATTCCATTGTTACATTTTTCTTTTCGTAGCAAAAATAAATTTAGTCTAGTAAAAAAAGAAATTAGTTTTATTATCATATTTCAATTACGACTTTATTATTTAATTTTACGAATAGATAACGTACATATTGTTTCTCAACGGAAACCGCGAGAAAATGGTGATCTCCGTCAAAAAATAAATGCAAACTTTTTAATAATATAATAATTTTTTTACGTAAATGTTTGTTTTTATAGTATAATCTGTTGAATTTTATTAATTATTAATTCAGCATGTTATAGTACAAAAAATATATTTTAATATAAAAATTAATGTAATATTAACTGTTTACATTTGCAAGAAATATGGATAGAACAGGATAGGTTGCAATGATACATAGGAAGAAAAATGATAGATGGATAAATAGATAGATAGATAGATAGATAGATATAGAGATAGATATAGATGGATAAATAGATAGACAGATAGATAGATAGATGGATAGATAGATATAGAGAAATAGATAGATAGATAGTTAGATAGTATAGAAAAAAAGATAAATAGAAATATAATTATCATTATTATTATTATTAATGTTTTCAGTTTCAAGAGAACATTCGCTTAACGTAAGTCTTACTTAGGTCCAGTTTCACAACTTATATTATATTAACCGGAATATATTATACGACTTATATTATATTAACCGGAATATATTATACGATTTATATTATTTTAACCGGAATATAATTCGTTAATATTAGAAGTACAGAGCGGTTATTTCTGATCGTTTCTATTTTTTAGATTAATATCCTGTTTCTTTAAGATTACAGGATTTTTGTTTCGAGGGTTTGTTTAATGTGATGTTTGTAAAGAATGTATATAAATTTCTACATATAAGATTAAAAATATGAAAATATTGCAGTGAAAGTAAGGAGGTTCCACGGTGCGCACGATATCTCAATAACTATTTGACCAATCGACTTTTTTTTTTTAAGTGGAGTAATGCATTATGCATACCCGCCACCCCGGGGGGAGTGACGGGTTATGTGGGACTCCCCCCCGGTACTTTCGTCCGGGGGGTTTACCCACTAAACCTCTACTGGTTACCTAACCCTGACCTTTAAGAGCGCGCCCCCCCCCCGTCTGCGTGGGCATGTGGGGGGAACGCACTCGGCCTCGGTGCCCCACCTTACGTGGTGCTCTTTCATCTAATTAACTGTGGCACGTTGGGGAACCACCCCACCGGCACGCCACCTCCCACCCAAAGGGGTCGAAATGAGGGCCGGGCCCCCGCCCGGACACCTCACCCCCCTCCCCGAGGAATTTATGGAGACGGTCCTTGATGTAGGCCCGTCTCCCTCCCTCGGGAACTCCTTCTCTTGGGTAGAGGGGGGGTGTTGGATCCCCCCCATCCCGCCCTGCATCGCCTTGAAATGGGAGATCCCTCCGGTACTTCCCCTTCCCACTACTCTTTCGTGAGAGCAGGTCCCCCATATGTATTTAACAGTGCAGGGGAGGGAATACAAATTCCCTCCCCCCGCATATACACATGACGTTGGGTGGGGACCCGCTCTCTCCTCCGTGAAAGGGGGGCTTAGCCCCCTTCGTGTGAGGGAGGGGGGGACACCCCCCTCCCTCCTAACCCTGTCCTATGGGGGAGCATATATTGCCCCCCCACCTCTACCTCCCTTCCAGACCTTGGGGGGGAGATCGGGGATGGATAGCTCAGTCACTATCCTCCCCCTCCCCCCCGCATTGTCATCTGTCGGGGGCTCTTCGCCCCCGACATGCGCGCAGTGGCAGCGGACCTCTTCTTGGGGGGGTATCCCCACCCGCATCCCCGCCGCCATCCCCCTCCTCTGAGGACGACGATGACGACGACGCAGACAGGGGAGCCGGCTCTCTCCGGCCTTTTCTTCCGGGCCGCCTCGGCCCATGGGTGGGATCACCATCCCATTCTTTTTGGCGTTCCGCCTCCTCCTTCCGCGAGATTACCTCCTCGCAGAATTCGGAGAGGGCCTGCCACTTCTCCTCGCTGCCGACAACTTTCCCTATTATTGTCAGCAGCGTAAGGTATGGTGGGGACCCGAAGGTCCCCCAATACCCCCCCGCCGCTGAGGAACCGATGGGGGTACCTACCTAGCCGACCCCTGAAGGGGGTCGGCCTTCCCTCCCCGGGAGGTGCTCCAATGATGACATCCCTCAATTCACCATGGACCCCCTCCCGGTTTGGGGCTATCCCTGACTTGGTTGCGGTGGGAGGATTTCCCCTGTAAGGGGTCGGCCCTCCTCCCACCGCTGCCGTTTAGGACTGTGGCCTTTCACCGCGGTGAGTGTCCCGGCAGGTGGCTACTCTCGCCTCGACTGCCGGGCACATCCCACCGCGACAGGCCACTCTAGTCCGATGCCCGGGGCGTCACGGAAGAGAGCCTGCTTGCTCTGTCTGCCGTGCACGTCCCCGGGCTCGGGGTGTTCCGATCGGGCGAATGACAGATTACTGCTCATCCGCCCAATCGTCCCACCTCAACTCCTGAATGAAGGAGCATGTTGCTACTACTTCCTCCGATCCGTCCTCTTGTGTCTCCATCCCTTGGGACGGGCTTCTGGGCAGGGAGGAGGTGGTGGAGGAGGGGGCATTTCCCCTCCTCCTCCTCCTACTTCCTTTGTATTTCCTTTTCCGGGCCTCTCGCCGGGAGGGGGAGGCCCCTCACTTTGCGCGTGAGAAGCCTCCTCCCCCCTACGAGAAGCGCGAGAGCCCGGCTTTCGGCGTTGCCGCCGATGTCGCCGCGGTTTCCTGCCCACGGCGGCCCTAGGGACCGCCGTGCAGGCCCTGCCTCCCATACGGTGGGCAGGGTTTCGTCCTAGCGCGTCGCACAGGGTGCACCGCGGTTCTGCAGTGCAGCCCCGTGCGACGTGCCCAACCTCCCCACACCTGAAACACCGGCCACCCCTGGAGTGTTCTGCCCGGCAGTCCACTGCCATGTGGCCAAAGTCCAGGCATCTATAGCACTGGGTAGGGCGTTCTCCTAACACGCGGACAGCGGCCCTCGTCCACCCGATTTGAAGCCCGCCGGCTTCTTGCAACTTATGCGCTGCCTCTAGTGGGCAGCGCAACCAAATCGCGCCGAGTCCTCTGGAGGACTGCCTGACCTCACCGGTCTGGATGTCCTCCGGAGGACACTTGGTTATGGAGCTCACTACTTGTCTTACCGCCCCCTTGGTTACGCTGTCGTCCAGACCGACGATTCGGACCTCGGCCCTCTTCGTCGGCCTAGCAACGACAGCGTCCCCAGATAGGGCGTCTTCGAGATCACGGGCAAAGCGCTCGGCTTTCGCCCTAGCGCCATTGCCCGTGATCTCGAATAAAATTCCGCCATTGCGGGCTCTTTTATATTTTAATCCTGCCCCAGGGGCTAGGCCGTGCTCCCCGAGGTCTACTCTGGCCTTGGCTTTTGTCAAGACCTGAGCTGAGGTCTTTCCCGGCAACGGGGTGATTGTTACCACCGGGTTGCGCGGGAGAGGCCTCAGCTTCGCCTTTTGGGCGCTCGGGGGCCCCGCAGAGCGTGGCCCCTTCTGCCGCTTTTGTAGCGCCCGCATACGTTGGTGCGTTTGCGGGCTTGTTCGCGATCGCGGGTGTACGCACGGGCCCCGTCTTGGCGGGTTTCGCGTTCGCGAACCTAATCCCTCCCCTCGGTTTCGGTGGCGGCTGTCCTGCTCCAGGCTTTCCCCCCTTCCCCCTACCTTTTCTCCCCTTACGGCTGGACACTGTTGTCCAGCCGTCGTCCCCTCTCGCAGGTTGACCCTGCTGTGGCCTCGGAGGGCCGAGCCTCGCCGCCGCTGCGAATACTGGGGGGACTCGTCCCTCCAGTATTCGCCCAAGGCGGGCGATTTCCGACTTGAGGCCGCGGATTTGTATCTCCACGGCCGCAAGACGGGCATCGGCTCCTCCCTCCGAAGCCATATCGACCAGCCCCTCGATGCTTTCCTCGATGTCATCGAGGCCTCGTCCAGCCTAGCCGAGCCGGTCGATGGCCACCCCATCATAAAAGG